TCCTTCTAACAGGTAATAAGCTTTGATTAACACGTACTTAGAAGAATCCTGAAAGTGCAGAGGATTCAGAGATGGATGTTAAAATGAAGCCTGTTGTCCAGGGGCTCCAGGAGGGGTGCGGGCGAGCACCCGAGGTCCAAGCAGAAGGGGAGGCGGCTTTGCCTGGCCCTGGGCTCCGGCCTTCCCCCCACAAGCCTCTTCCTCCCACGGCCTGCACGGCAGCGCTAGTTACCCCGACAGACAGGACTAAACAGCCGTTCTGCGGGGCAAGAGCACACACAGCACGCGAGCGCGCACACTCGCTCACGGCGCACTCTAGTCACCGACTGAAACGCGGGCGGTGGGCCCACGCCGGGAGCTCCGGCCGCCCTTACCTGCCTCAGGTCCATGGCGCCCCCCGAGGCATGTCCAGGCAGCGCGACCCTCCCCCGGGTGCGTGGGTTTCCAGGGGCCAGGCTTCTGCTCGAGGCTCCGCAGGCGCAGGGGGCTTAGGGGCGTCTGAGTAGCCGGACAGGAAGCTCCTGGGCGGGGAGGGTGAGCGGGTTGCGAAATGGCTCCGGTTCAGTTTCACTTTCGTTTCCCCGGAAGGACAGCCCCTTTGGAAACTTTGGGCAGCTCGGGGGCGGGGCTCTGGCAGCTCGGGGGCGGGGCTCTGGCAGCTCGGGGGCGGGGCTCTGGCAGCTCGGGGGCGGGGCTCGGGCAGCTCGGGGGCGGGGCTCGGGCAGCGAGGCCGCTGGTTTCGCGCGGATCACAGCCTAATCCCTCCTGGCAGAACCGGGCAGGGTGCTGTTTCTTTAGGAAAACTGCTGTAAATACCGAGCGCAGGATGCCCCCGCCACCCTCTCAGGACGCCAAGGGCTGAAGCAAAAGAAAACAAAGGCACCAGGAAAGAGGCGGGGCGCAGTTCAAATGGCTGACGTCCCTACTTACTCCTGTTCCTTGAATATTATAAAGGACAGGAGCCAGCAGGAAGCTGCGATGAAGGTCCCCCTGCGGGCTGAGAAGGGCGGTTCAGAGGGAAGCCCTCTCCATGCATATGTATCCCTTTACTCTTCACAACAGCTCTGCGGGCAGGCCTGAGTCCCAGGTTACAGATGCGGAAAACCAGCTTTCCAGGTCTGACTGTGGAAACTCGTGGTCACACTCGCTGGCTACGCTGTGACTTTCCAAAAGTTCAGTTATCTAGATCAGTGGTTCTCAACCTTCCTAATGCCGCGACCCTTTAACACAGTTCCTCATGTTGTGGTGACCCCCAATTTCATTGTTACAAATTGAACATAATTAAAGCATAGTGATTAATCACAAAAACAATACGTAATTACATAAGTTTTCCGATGGTCTTAGGCGACCCCTGTGAAAGGGTCGATCGACCCCAAAGGGGTCGCGACCCACAGGTTGAGAACCGCTGCTCTAGAAGAAGCGATTCAACTGGTTTCATGATCATGCTATGCGTCTGCTATTTTGTTCAAGATTCTATCGATCAATTCTAGTGCTCAACACACCCTCACCTGTGAACATTTTCTTTTTCTGTGTTTAATTTTATCCCCACTGCTTTTGAGATTTACAAGGCAGTCCCTTTAGGGCAGTGGTCGGCAAACTGTGGCCCCTTGAGTGTGGCTCTTCCACAAAATACCACGTGCGGGCGCGCACGTACAGTGCAATTGAAACTTCATGGCCACACTCAAGGGGCCAAAGAGCCGCATGTGGTTCACGAGCCGCAGTTTGCCGACCACTGCTTTAGGGCATTATCACCAGCAGATGCCCTTCTCCACTGTCCTCTTTTAAAAAAAAAAAATAAATTTTTATTGATTTCAGAGAGGAAGGGAGAGGAAGAGAAAGAATGAGAGAAGGAATCAAGGATGAGAGAGAATCACTGACCAGTCTCCTCCATGCTCCCTCCTAGGGATCGAGCCCACACTGGGAATCGAATCGTGACCTCTTGGTTCATAAGTTGAGGCTCAACCACTGAGCCACGCCGGTCGGGCTATATATCTGCCTTTAGAGCTACAGTCTTTTCTGGGCAGGGAATATGTGTCACATCCCCATATCCCCGGCATGCGACTTTCTAAATAAACTTCCTCTTATAATTAGAGTTTCTTGGTTCTGAATTCTTTCTTTGCTGAACTCGAGTACCGAGGTCTGGTAACATTCTGGTGTCATTTCACCACTAACAACAACCGAAATGCCTATCAAAAATAAAATGCATAAATGATGGCAAATGTCTATGATGGAATCCTATATAATAAAAGGCTAATATGCAAATAGACTGACCAGTGGAAAAACCGAACAACTGATCTCTATGACGTGCGCTGACCATCAGGGGGTGTGCGCGGAACATGGCAAGTGTTGGCCGCAGCGGGATGGTGGAGGTGAGCGGGGGTGCCAGACCAAGGCGGGGTGCCGGTGGCTGTCATGGGGTGAGCCTCTGGTGGTTACGGAAAATTCCTTGCTCCTGAACACTGTGTTCTCACCCGGCGCTGCACCTGCTGCTGGCACGGGAGCCACCAATGGCACCTGCTGCCGATGCCTGGTGCTGGCCCCGATCGCTCGGCGCCTTCAGTGGGTGCAAGCGGCAGCTGCCGGCCCTGATCGTCCCTCAGGGCTTCTCCACCTCCCCGTGCTCCTGAGGGGTGATCGGGGCTGGCAGCCGCCTCTCGCACCCACTGCCGGTACTGGCCCCGCTCACACCCACAGCCGGTGCCAGAGCCGCTGGTTTCACCCACTGCCAGCTGGTGCCAGAGCCGCTGGTTTCACCCACTGCCAGCTGCTGGCCCTGATCACCCCTGAGGGCTTCTCCACCTCCCCCTGGACCTAAGGGGCGACTGTACCCGCTGATGGCCAGCACCAGCAGCGGGTGCGACTGGGGCTGACGCCATCAGTGCGTGGGAGTGGTGGTGGGAGCGGGGCTGCTGGCAGATAGGAGACTGGTGCTGCGGTGGGAGGATCTAGGTGGGGGTGCGGAGGATGGGCCGAGACCTGCCTCTGTGCCCACCACAGCCTCGTGGCCCACAGTTCCTTTCAAGGTGCATGAATTCGTGCACTGGGCCCCTAGTATTATATAGCACCAAAAATGGAAGAACTAGAACCACATGCAACAAAATGAGTAATCATCTAAACATGATATGGAGAGAAACCACAGACATATTATATGGTTCCATTTACATAAAAGTCCCAAACCGGGCAAAACTGCATAAAAGACAGGATGGTGGTTACCTGTAGGGAGGATGGGTTGGGGGTTTGACTGGGAAGGAGTGTGCTGGGTGCTGGTGATGTTTTAGCTCTTGGCTTGGGTGGTGACTGCATCTATGGTTGCTTTCCAGTAGTTCATTAAGTTATACACTTACGCTCTAAGCTGTACGTCACAATTTGTAAGGCGAAAAACAAGAACAAACCCCCACTGTAACCATTCCAGCCTCTGTTCCCACATTCTATTTTCCATTTAAGTCAAATGAGTTATGTCTTACCTCTCCTTCCTTGCCTCGGGGCTGAACAATTCCACAGCCCTTAATCCTCCTACAAGAATGTTCCAGAAAAGTCTTAATCACTGCTGTTGTGCAGGGGAAAGTGCACGGCTGCTGCCCCCCATCCCTTTTAAGCAGATGGAAAATTTGTTTCCTAAGCAGAGGGTCAGTTTGTTCCTTGAAAGAACAACTACTCTTGTCATTTAATCTTAGCAGCTCAAGTAACTGTGGACAGTCTTATTCATAAACATTTCATCCACCCCACCCCCCAGTAATTGTTTCAGCTCCCACAGGGTTGGGAGGTAGTGACATGGTGACATAAACCTTCGTGCTATTCTACTGCAGGGACTTGACGCATGGGATGAAGCTCTTTATACCCAAAGTAACAGGTTGACTAGAGAAAATTTCAGAAAATACAGACAAGCAGTCAAAATGATCCCTACCCCTTCCCTGTTAGTTCATCAGTGCCTTTCCTTCCTGTGTTCCCTGCGCATAGCGGCACCAGGCGCACGCTGGTGCTCCTCTCCTGATGCGGGGGCTCACCTCCCAGGGGGTCTGAGTGCCTGCTGCCCCGCTGTGCAGGAACCGAGGGCTATGTGCTAACCACCACCTACATGGCTAAGAGTTCCCATCTAGGATGAGTTGCGCATAAAAAGCCCTCACTGGCAAGCAAGGCTTTCGCACAGCACGGCGAGCCCTGGCTCCATGTGAGCGAGCCTTCAGGGCCCCGGACTTCCCCCGTTATGGAGGACGCTATCATCTGGCTACTGAGCTGGTTTTAGTTTCCAATTCCTGCTATTCTTGCCTTTTCACTATAAGTAACTGCTGCTCTGGCTTGTTGTGGCTCTTCTGTTTAATCGCGCTGTGTACAGGGATGAGCATTTACGAGTCTTTTCAGTCTACAATTTCCTATAACCAGACTACTGCACATATGGGCTACATCCAATCTATCTCCCTATGGTAACGCAGATGTCTGCAAACTCCTTCAACATTTGCTCATACAGTGATCCTGCAACAGAAATGTATTGCCTGCGAATGCATGCTACTAAACTTGCAACATATTATCAAAAAAAGTACTAAGTCACTGTAATTTTTAATTACCAGGCCATTATTTTAGAAAGGATATGCACATAAATAAACTCACGTTCTTATATTTAGTCCTAGGAAATACATAATTAGCAATTTGTAGAGTTTCGAGGACAAATTTAATGGCTTCCTTTTTTTGTTGTTTCTTTTCGCCTCTTTATCGTTGGGTTTTTATTCCACTGCAACAGTTACTGCTACATCAATATAATTTCAAAATCTCAGGGCCTTCCCATAGTGACCCCATTTGCTTTGATAATCTGTGAGGCTTTCTGCAGACAGACTAGTGAGTTGCCTAATTGGCTGAGTAGGGCTCCACAGCTGTATTTATGCTGATATATATACTCTATTGATGTTAATGATTAGACCGACTTTTTTTTCAGACTGGCTTTTGACAAGAAACAAGAGATGCCTCAGGTATCCCCAGAAGAAACAGGTCTCCAAAAGTGGTTAAGTGCCTGTACCTCAAATTATCCGGTAAATGAAAAAAGAAAAGTGGTATTTTATAATTATCTACTAGAGGCCTGGTGCACAAAAATTTGTGCACTGGGGAGGGGGGTCCCCTCAGCCTGGCCTGTGCCCTCTCGCAGTCTGGGACCCCTCGGAAAATGTCCACCTGCTGGCTCAGGCCCGCTCCCTGGGGGATTGGGCCTAAGCTGGCAGTCAGACATCCCTCTGGCAGCCTGGGAGCCATCGGGGGATGTCCACTTGCCAGTGGGGAGCAGACCTAAGCTGCAGTCGGACATCCTTAGCGCTGCTGAGGAGGCAGGAGAGGCTCCCACCACCACTGCTGTACTGGGAGCCATCAGCCTGGCTTGTGGCTGAGCAGAGCTCCCCCTGTGGGA